TGTTCTGTGTGTGCCTCTATGAGAAGACAATCTGTTGAAGCCAGTTGCCAGTTTTGTATTACAGTTCAGCACCACAAAAACACCCCAACAAGCACTCATGTAACTTTCTTGTCACATAGTCCCTTTCTTCCAGCCCACGAAAAAGTCAAATCCAACCCTATCTGCAGGGTTGGCTTCTTCAGCTCAGACCAAAGGGATTCTGGTGTCAGGTTCATTGGACTCTCCAGTGATGTCTTCACCAGCTATCACTGTGAGGAAGTTGTTGCATGACTTACAAGTCCTTCAAGGGTTTTCTTCCATCTTGCTAGCCTCTTCCCTCTGGACATGAATCTCTACAAAATGACTCAAGCAACAGAGAAAGAAAGATACTCACTCCTGTTGAGTCATGTAGATGGCTGGATGTATATTTTTTCTTTAGTGTTTATTTTCTGGCACTGAGAATGCTTCTTTCTGCTAATGTCACTGGCTCACAGGAAAGCACATGAAAAAGGAGACTGAAATGGAGCTGACTCCCTTCTCCTCTGTGCTCCCTGGCTGAAGGATACCATGCACAGCCTGAGGCTTACCTGCCAGCATAGCCAAGGGGAAGATGTGAATTTAGTGAATATTTGGAGATGAACAAGATAATGACCAAATCACTTCATTTATTCCTTATAAACAAAAGTATTTTGGTGTCACTGGTCCACTGAAGGCATATTCCCTTTATGTTAAAAATCAAAAATAATTTGTGACAGTCCAAAACAAACAAGCCTCACGTCAAAAGACTGCTCTCTGCTCTCTGAGCCTGGAAGTGAATGGAAGTGTCTCCTCCAGCAGCACCACACGGTTTTCTGCCCTATTCCATATTTACCACCAGCAGTTTCATCTCATTCATCATGGTGAAAACCAGCTGCTTCAGGGACGAAAAAGCAATTCTTTCAGCCTTTCCTTGTAGGAGACGTGCTCCATCCGTCTGATCATCTTGGTGTCCCTCCTCTGGACTCACTCCAGCAGTTCCGTGTCCTTCCTGTGCTGGGACCCCAGAGCTGGATGCAGGGTTCCAGCTGGGGTCTCACCAGAGCAGAGCAGAGGGGCAGAATCCCCTCCCTCCCCTGCTGCCCACGCTGCTTTGGATGCAGCCTGGGACCCGTTTGGCTTTCTGGGCTGGGAGTGCCCATGGCTGGGTCATGTCTGGCCTCTCACCCACCAGCACCCCTGAGTCTTCTCACAGGGCTGCTCTCCATCTGTTCATCCCCAGCCTGTGCCAATACTAGGGGTTGTCCTCACCCAAGTGCAGCACCTTGAATTTGGTCTTGTTAATCCTCATGAGATTCCTATGGGCCCCTTCTTGAGCTTGTGCAGGACTTGACTCTCAAGAGCAGGGAGACCGACCTGCCTCCAGTTCAGCACCCATTATACAATAGCAGCTTTTACAATTCTCTGTCTGGCAGATACGCAGCTGTTTTGCAGAGAACACAGCAGAAAACCATGTACTTTTCGCCAGCTCAGTAGCAATAAAATCAAATTAACAACCGAGAAGGAACATTAATTTAGGTTTTTCAAAATAAGACTTTTGCTGGAAGCCACAACAATCACCAGTTCAAATCTCCCTTTTAGCAGGTAAAATTCCTGCCTGAAGAGATTGAGCCTTGTAAACCAGATTGGTTTTTTCCTTTTAAAATGGTATTAAAGTTATTTCTCACTTTTCCCATAAAAATTATTAAATGTTATTGCTTGTCAATCTTATTTAAGATTCTTTTCATTCTGTATTTACCTACCACATATCTCTCCATCATTCTTTCCCTTGAGGTCTCAATTATTTTCAAGGACTATGTCATTAACATTATTACTTATGTTCCAATAGCAGTACGGATAAGTCTTGCCTTCTCCTATTGGAGATCTGAATGATAATATTAAATTAATAAATGCTTACCGAAGGCTCCTGACTTCTTCACCTTTCATACTGTTTTAACTGCCTTATGATAATTTATGAGACCTGATATATTAGATGTATTTTCACATTGGAAAAGAAAACAATTCAGGATGGGAAGAGTCTTGCTTACAGACTGTATTAAAGAATGCAATGACCCTAGAGGAGCAGGAACTCTGCATCTTGCCCATGACACACATAAGACTTTAAGAACTTCTGCCTTATATTGGAAATAGACAGCCAATTAGTGTTGGCCTGTTTCTGCAATACATGTGCAAGCTGTTAGCAAACCAGTGGCTGTGCTCTTGAATCCACCTAATGTGTGAAGTGTTCTGTTAAGTCACTTCTCTTTAGGTACTTCCTAGAAAGACTTCCTGAGGTTTTCTTTGGACACAAAGGACATATGACTTACATCTTCTTCCTGACTGCATAGTGAGAAAAGCACAGGTCCTCAAAATAAAAATGTGCCTTCAGAATTTTTTTTCTCAGTCTTTCCCCAAAACTGTCGAAGTGCAGAGAGCTGTGCTGTGTATTATTACAGCTCTCTTCCTCTGCTTTCATTCCTCCACTTTTTATTGGTTTCTAGTCTTTGCATTATAGGAGCCTGAAAATGTCCAGCCTAGGTCAGGGTTGTGTTCTGCAGGATGGTTACAAATACCTGGGAGGAGATAGTCTCCATCCTCAGCATCTCAAAATTACACTGAAAATTTACAGAAAAAGGATAGGGATTTACCATCCCTATATCAAAGAAGCTATCAGTCACAAGTAATGCAATTTGTGAGAGCACTGAAGACTGAACCTCAGGCAGAATTTCATGTTAAGTGGACATTGCTATTTCTCAATAGTATAAACAGCCTTGCATCTGCCCTTTAGCTGACTGTTTGGTTTGGTAGCATTTTAGCCCTCCACATCCTCATGATAGAACAAACAAACTGGAACACCTGAACATGAGGAAGAACTTTACGGTGAGGATGACTGAAACAGACTGCCTAGAGATCCTGAGGAGTCTCCTTCTCTGGATATAGTCAAAAGCTGTCTGGACACAATCCTAAGTAATATACTCTATGGAACAGTGCTCGAGCAGAGAGGTTGGACTAAATAGCCTCCACTGGCCTGGTCCAACATTACCATTTTGTGATTCTGTGAATCTCTGTCAGAGTGAAGCAAGTCCAATATAAAGCTGAGAGGCAAAATCAAGGAAGCACTTAGTCTGCTTCACTTCTCGGGGAGATCCACCAAGCAACCATACAATTGCTTTCACTGGTATGAGACAAGAGAGAAGGAAAAAGGAGCCAAGGGCAAAGCTGTGTTTTCTGAGACTGTAGATTTGTCACCATGGCTAAGATATCCTGTTTCTTAGCCAGGAGACAAGTTTTCTAATGCAGAAGAACATGAATCCTGAGTTGCCTTCCTGGTGTGCATGCAACATGGCAAGGCAAACCTGTTCCTTCTTCCTGTGCAACAGAAATAACCTGTAGAAGCAAAATACTGCAGCCCAGGGGAGAACTGCTCGAAACAGGAGAGAACTGATTATGCAGACTTTGCATAAGCTAGTAAACTGAATGCCTACTAACGCAATGAACACACTGAGTTCCCACTGTGCAGTAGCCCTGATGTCTGTACACAGGAATAGTCTGTTACACAGGACTCCAAAGTATTAATGCAGCACTACCAATAGAAAATATCAGTAGGCATACTTGTGAAGATTTGGTCCTTAATAATCATCAGAAAGAAATTTACAATCCAAATAACAAAAGAAAAAAAAAAAAGCAAACAAAAAACATTAGAGGAGTTATTTGAAACAATTGTGTTGCCTGCTATGACAGCTTATCAGCCATCACTCCATCTAAAGTCCTTTCTATGAGTCTTGCACACAACAAAAGGATGCTACAATCCTGCCTGATCTTCATCTAAAGTCCTTTGGGCTTACAGGTATCAAAGCAGCCCTGTTCCTCCTTCCAAAATGCAGTTCTCAGGATTGTATACAATGACTACAAAAAAATTTGTTTCACATGCCTGCTGAAAAATTATGCTTCTGTCCTGGGTCTCATCACACTATATATCAATGCAGTGCAAGACATCTGCTGCTGGGCTTGATGCCAAGCCCACAAGACTCAGTATGATACCAAAGTTGTGAAAGATGCAATTATGGAGCTATAATAATTTTATTTTCTGGAACCTGAATCCCTCTGTCTCTTCAGAACCAGTTGTGGGCAATGCTTTTTCAGATAACCCACTGCTCTGGAAAGATGCCCATCCTGTATTGGCTGGCTGCAATTCGAAGTTTGCTCCTTTTCATCTCCTTTCTCTTTATCCCTTGCACTTCCCCACTTAAAGCACAAAAACAATTCAGAAGAAATAAGCAGTGTGTGAAACACAATTCAGAAGCAATAAGCTGTGCATGGAAAATATGGAGTGTGTCTGCTAAGCTCTAAGATGAAATTGGTAATTTATGCAATGAAAACTGGGTCAACAGTCCCTCACATCAATGGACAGAGATTTTTCCATCATCTTGAGTGGGCTTTGCAAATGCCTAGTGAGCATGCATATTGGGAGAAACAAGAACACTTAATGCCCCAGGCACTACCCAAAGCATCCTGCAGATTCCTGCTAAGGAGGTGGTTCAGGGACAAGGTTCATAGGTCAAAAGAATCAGCTGAAATCCATGAGGATCCAGCACTTTGCTGTATGCAAAAATTCCCAGTAGATGATTATATAACTACTATTACTACTAATAATAATTATTATTATTGTTGTTATTATTATTATTATTATCCCTCTATTTTATTAGCCTTCCCTCAGGATTTACAGTTATAGAAACAAATTCATCTCTTTCACTGACTTTATCCTTCCAATCCCTCTCCAACTACTCGCTTTAGTGCCAGTGTAATTATCTCCCCAAAATAAATAGACAAATAGTACAGAGAGACATAGAGAGAAGCCATTTTAAAGTCTTGTCTGAACCTGTTAGTGTTCTGCAAAACACCTCTGTAATGAAAGATATTCAATAATGCTGCGATTCAGAGAAGAAGAGATCAATCAAGCTGCATAAATCCCCCTTTCCTTCTGTAAGGGTCGGTCCCCTTCGAAGTTCCCCTCGATTTTGCCTCCCGACCGTCGCAAGGAGACCTCGAGGACCCCCACCCAGGCTGACTCCGAACAATGGTTTCCTGGCCGGGCCAGGTGGATGCTCGTGACTGTGTGCTGGTGTATTGTGTTCACTGGACTGTGCTGTTGTGACACCAACCAGAGGTTGTGTTGTATCAACTGATGACTGCTTGTCCGTACCTGTCTCCTGCAGCACCACACAATGGTCCATAAATCTTCCCTCTTCTTGGCCAGAGGCCACTCGCTTTGGAGAAGGACTATAAAGACCAACCCTCTGGAAAAGACCCTTTGAGATCTCTCCACTGATGAAGACCCCCTGGAGAAGACCCCTGAGATCTCCCCACGGACGAAGACTCGTCTATCGGATGACCCATGACGACGCCCGTCTCGTCTGTTGGTAGCTATTTTCCCATCCCTATACCTCTCCCCTTTACCATAACTGAGTTGTTGGCATTTGATGAAATGCATTTCTGTTGTTGAATAAACTGATTTTCTGCTGTTGAATAAACTGATTTTGTCCCCTGCATTTTGCCTGTTTGCACCTTTAAGATCAAAAGAACCATCACGACCCCCGCTCTGCATTAATAGCGGATCGTGACACCTTCCTACTATGCTCATGTGTTTTTTCGGACAGGACACTCTTACTGGTGTGTTATAAGCCTTTGGGGCTTGGGTTTGAATGCTGGCTTTTCTATAAATTAGTCCATTCGCAAAGCTGTAGGAAAGAGCTACTGTTACAGGAGTTACATGTTGAGGTTCACACAGACTTCCCAGGAGACAGACAGGACTTAAACACCAAATTTAGGGGAAACAAGGCCATCTCAAAGACCAAAAAAGTGGCCATAAAGTGACCCAACCATAATCATGTCCTCTAATTTGTAAAATTATCTCACTCCTGTCAGTTCAAAGCTCAAGAGCAGACATTTATGAAGGACAGGTTCTAAGTCTGAAGGATTGGTACAAAGCAGAGCAAAATAATGAGCTTACAACTCTAAACCACATTTTAGTTCAGAGGCATGAGATGCTCTTCAGATGCTTCTTGAATAGGCTAATTTACAGTCAAAGCTCAAACCAACTGCTGCCACCTGGGATGTTTAACTCTGCTGGGAACCTGAGAAACAAGAAAAGCCATGTTAGTCTCAACATGCCTCTATTACATTTTTCTTTCGAATCTTGATGCTATAACATCTGTAACCTGTGTCTCTGGCTTTTTTCTTTTCCTGAGAAAGATAGATAATAATGCTGTTGAAGCAGTATCAGCATTAGCCTTACAAAAATATCAAACATGCAAGCAATCTTGACACCATGCTATGGTGATGTATTTTTACAATGACTTGAGAAGTGCAATGCCTCTGCCTGAAAACAGAACTTTCAGTTTTACTGCTCCCCACCAAGATCATGTGGTCATCTTCCTTCATAACAGTAGTGGAAGGAACAGCCACAAGAAAAATGCATTTAATTTTGCTGTGCAAGTGAGTTTCTAAAGTGATTATTTTATCCAGAAATGACAAACAAACAGTTAAAAAGAGAAAATGCTCATCTTGCATTCTCAGGACAACTTAGCAAAAGTACAATTTTATAGGAGTTTTTACCCTGCCTTTGGCCTTAGGCATATTTAGACCAATATCTTGCTCAATACTGTAGATTTCAGATGAAAGCTAAGAAACAAACTTCTAACATACACTGTGATAAAATAATTTGCCACTAAGGAAAGGCCTTTTAACCCCATCCAGTTAAATTTAACTCACTTCCTACACTTCAGAAATTTCTAGAGAGAGGCTGCCAAAGATCATCAATGTAACAACTAAAAAAAGTCTGACTTTTCTAAGAACTAATGTGTTTATGAACTCACAAGCCTTTGTTGCTTATCTTTCAAAAATAAACTATTTTTCTGTTCAATTTTAAATATATGATGTTCAATACCATGGAACATCCCATATGTTCAGATTTCCTTTGAGATAAGAAGGGGAAACATGAGCATCAAGAACATTTGCACCGTTTCCTATGTTATTTCTGTTAAATCTTATTTGTCTTCTCTTTCAGATACACAGCTGTAGTCTCCAGAGGGAAGATTGGAGAGCAAGGAGAGCATCACCACCACCATTTTTAACAGCTTGCAGCATCCCTAGATTAGCTGGTCTGCAAAATATCTATGACAAAGAGGCTTTCCACAATACCTTAAGCTATGCTGCTCCAGAAGGTGCAGGTAAGGAGTAGTCTCATGTGGTCTTTTACATCTTCTTCAAAAATTCTGAAGATGCTAGAGAAACAAAATACTACAGCTTAACCCATGGTGAATTTCAGAATAACTCATATAAAATTATAAAAATAAAACATATTTACACTGATTACCTATTTGAACTTGAGTATTTTATAAGTAAATTAAAATCCAACCCAATTTTAACCCTAGATCTGCCACTGTTCAGAGATAGATTAGCATAGGTAGATTTCCAAGAAATGTGAAATACAAAAATGATAATTCAAATTGGAAAATATGTGACTTGTTTTTGCAATAGGGGTTCTAACAAAAGTGAGGAAGCAGTGTTATAACATGCTCTGTCATGCTCCATTTAACTCTACTCTATTATTAATACTGTGTAAAAGTCTATATAAAACATACACATTTTGGTGGGATGTACTGAACTAATCCCTTCGAGGATCTAGTTTACTGGTTGCAGAAACTGGTTTCCACTGTTCTGCAATAAATCAAAATTACTTCCTTGCCATAGGTTTGATCTTAAAAGATGGATATATGAATCTGCTCTTTTCTTATTATCTCTACCTAATCCATAAATGGATCTGTTAGGGATGTGGCAACAAATTTCAGTTCTTTCCCCAGCAAAAGTTATAGATCCCTGGTGCTTTGCTGCATTTCTCTGAAGCTTCAGACTCTGCTTTCTACTGATATGCTGCTAGTGAATTAATGCTTCTTCAATGGAAAAGAAATAAAGAAGTAAATTAGCTAAACTTCTTCAGTGATGTTCTGCTTGTGTCTCCAAGAAAGAACAAATAAGTTGCTGGACAGAAGACAAAAATAAATATAGTAGGGTTCTGCAGCATTAGTAAAGCACTCTGTTTTTTCACAGCTGAAGGGAAAAGCGCTGGCAGTGTCCCTAAACTTGGAAAATTGGAGAACATAAAAAGTACATCAGGATTGTATTTTGCAACTATGCCGTTGGTGGAAGACAATGCTCTGTGAAAACAGAAACCAAAAATTATTTTCTTCTGTTTTTGTGGACTCACTGTAAAGAATTATTCATTAATCATGAAGGATACAGAACAGAGGCATTTTGTGAAACAGAGTCATCTGGTTTTTAAGAGTATGCTTTTGATGAAAATTTGTTGTATTCAACTGGTGTTACAACATTTTGAACCAGTGGAAGATTTATCCCATCCTTTTTACACTTATTTTCTTCTTTTGCTTTTTATTTCTCTCTTTTTTTATTTTTATATTAATTTTCTCTTCTTTCTTCTTTTCTTCCTCTTTTTTAATTTTTCTTTTCTTTTTTTTTAATACATTATTCAGTATCTTCCACCTGCACAGGTGTTCTATCCATTCCATCTTTTCCATTCCATTCACAGATATTGCATCCTCCCTACAATTCTTTTAGTATATCTGTGTACTTCTACTGTGCTTTGTTGAGGTTTATTCTTTCTTATTGTGCTGGTTACACGAGGGGGAGGGCAGAGTCAGAGAGGTTTTTCTCCATGAGAACTTCCTCTGTGAGTTGATGGGATCAGTTGGAGGCTGGTTTCGTTACTGACAGCCTGAGGAAACATTTGGGGAAAGTTAGTTCACTTTGTGAAAACACATTTTGAAGCAGGTAACCAGGAGAAAAGGTTTTTTTTCTCTTCCAGCAGCAGTGCAGGTAACACTGGCCTGGCCTGGCTTCACTGCAGGCCTGTGGGCCTGGCAGGGGGACAGGGCGGGGCCCCCTGTCTGGGGAGCTGGCATATCCTGGCAGGGAGGATCAGTAGCCATGGGAGGGGCTGGGCCCCTGTGTGGGGAGCTGGCATGGCCCGGCAGGGAGAAGGGATGACCATGGGCAGTGGGTGCTGTAACTGAAACCCAGCGAGGCTGAGTGAGGTCCCAGCTGTTCTCCCTCCTCCCCCTTTCCATCGCAGCCGCGGCCTTTTCTAACTTGGGCCAGGCCTATCCAGCTTGGCCAGAGTGTTCTGAGATCCTGGCATGGCTTGGCTACAGTCTTTGCATTTTCCTGTGTGAGATTTTAACTCCTTCAATGCTCAGATAAGACTTGCAGACCTTCAATCCTCCCCTGAGTTAGAGGAAAATAAGAACAGAAGAGCTAAGTTTCTTTAGATGGAAGGAGAATGAGAAGATGTTATGAAGACTGCCTGAAAATCCTTTTGTAAAGTTGTAGGGATGAACTGATATTGCACTGAAATGTTCCTCTAAACCATAGAGAAAGACATGGGGAGGTTGGAGTGTTCCATTTGATAGATTGTTGACCAAAAGCACTTGTGTTACAAATCCTTCACTCTGAGGAGAAAAGGTGATCTCTATTTCTGGAGATGAAGCATGAACACAGAGAAAGAAAGATTAAGATAATTTTTATTTTGGAACAGTTCATTCTTAAAAGTAAATACCCCATGTGTTTAACACGGCCCATAAGCACAGCTTTGGGAAAGCTGTGAAAATGAGAGGAGCTTCACAACTTGTATAGTTTTTCCTGGGCAGATGTGAATCATGAAAGTGAAGCCACGAGAGAACTGGTTTTTCCCCTCATTGTGGAGATGTCCCTATGGCCTGACAAGAGGAAATTTCTCTCTCTGAAGTGAACTGAAAAGGACTATTTAGGTTGGGAACTGACTGAAGTTGTTTTTTGGATGTTTGTTTTTGTTGTTAAGAAGGTTGGGAGAGGGGAGGAGAGAGTGGTCTGAAGATCTTATTCTGAATTTGGTTTTTTTTTCTCTTTCTTTGTGTAGTTAATACAGTTTTTTATACCCTTTTTAAGCTTTAGGCCTCCCTTGCTTCTGCTCCTGGTTCTGCCTCACAACAGAAAATGAGTTATTTAATTTGCCAAATCAAAACTATAACATTATTGG